CCCTGAAAGATAAAGACTGGCAAGGTATCGCTAGACTGGGCGATAGAGCGCTGACGGGTCTCTATGGCAGACAGGGTGTCGACAAAGTCAGTAAGGGTGAGGTCAGCGAGGTGGAGACTAAGGAAGTGATCGCGAGTGGTGGCAAGGCGGTCAGGGAGGCGGGTGGCAAGCAGGTAGAGGGTAGAGCAGATGGGGGGCTGAAACACATGAAGTTGAGCCTCAGTGCAGGCAGCGCGCCAGGTTGTGTGTAGCATGAGCAGGTGGGCGGCTAGGTCAACGACAGTGAGGAAAGACGCAAGGTCAGGAGTGAGCATGGGTAGGATTAGGCGACCCTAAACAACAACCTCTAGGAACTCCTGCGCAGTCCTAACAGACCTAAAGCGGGGGCGCTAGGACAGGGGAAGGGCATGACTAATCGCAAGCTGTGCGACAGTGTTACGCGACAACCAGACAGCACGGGCAAGGGCAGCAGCTGCAACGGACACACGGTCAGCAGAGGTGGGGTCAGAAGGGAGGGCAGCAGGGGGGTCCGGGCAAGGGAGCGTACCATCGATGTGGACGGCCAAGGAGTGGACGTCCAGCCGCTGACCAGTCAGGTGTCGCTGGAGGTCGACGAGCCACGAGTTGAACTCAATCGTCTGCCCCTCATCATTAAAACGCAGGACTGAGTCCGCCATCATGGTTGCAGCAGCAGGAGAAAGACAGTACTGGGAAGGAGAGCGCGGCGGAAAGCGGTGATGTGCGGTGCACTGCGGTACTGTGCTGTGGAGGGAGGTGCAGTACGGTATGGTGCAGTACAGTGCGGTGCAGAGCGGTGCAATGCGGTGCAGAGCGGTGCCATGTGGTGCAGAGGGGCCGAGGACGGCGGCGAGGCGTCTAGAAGACGGGCCGCGGGCGGCAAGGCGACGGGGCTGGCAAAGAGGCAGGGCTGGCTAGGAGGGGGGGGCGCGAGGTGACGGGGCCGCGGGGCCACAAGGTGACAGGGCCGCGGGGCCTCTACGGAACAGGGCCGCTGGGCCGCTAGGTGACGAGGCCGCGGGGCCGCTCTGGGACGGGCCGCGGGGCCGCTAGGGGACGGGGCCGCGGAGCCGCTAGGTGACGGGGTTGCATGGCCGCTAGGGGATGGGGCCGCGGGCGCGCTAGGGGACGAGGCCGCGGGGGCCGCTATGTGACGGGGCCGCGGGGCCGCGAGGTAACGGGTCCGCGGGGCCGCTCTGGACGGGGGCCGCGGGGGCCGCTAGGGGACGGGGCCGCGGGGCCGCAAGGTGACGGTGCCGCGGGGTCGCTAGGGGGACGGGGGCAGCGGGGCCGCTAGGGGATGGGGCCGCTAGGGGACGGGGACGCGGGGCGACGAGACGGCTAGGACCTAGGGCGGAAGCGCTGGGGGGCGGGGGGGAGGGGGGGGTACCTACCTACTCATGATACCATGTTCAAGTGAAAGAATGTCTAGAACAAGACATACAAAAGAATATAACCTAATGGTTGTACTCCTTAACGCACAACCCCTATATAGTCTACAGAAATATACAATATATGTATTATAGGTATTACTGGATCCTACGGTAGAGGGTACAACCCCCCTTCTTGTATCCCTCACTCTTTTTTTCAAAGCCACATTTTCTTCTCTCTACATTTCTCTCCTTCCTAAACATCACGCCATTCCATGGCTTCTCCCCCTAGCTGACGTACTTCAACACCCCTCCCTCCCCCTCCCCCCCCCTCCTTCCTCCCCCCCTTCCTCCCCCATTTTCCCCTTACGCGCATGTCGGTTGAGTCGCGTACGCGGTAGGTGTCCATGGCAAACAAACCTCTTTTGACTTGTTTCATTTCGTCCCCCTTTCTCAAATGCATATTCGCAGTAACACCCGATCATCGTCGTGACATGCGAGAGGATAAACGAAGCTGCGTGACGAAAAAGGAAGTTGCGGGACGGGGTCCTTGCGTGAATGAGGTATTTGTAGTAAAATTCCACATTTGGCACGTCCAAGGGTGGCGAGGTCAAATTTCTCAGGGCAAGGTTAAGGTGTAATCCAGATTCCCATGTTCTATTACTGAAAAACATCTTAGGGAATGTGTACAGAGGTTATAAGTCGGAAGGGAACGGAACGGAACTGCAGACAAGCCATCCATGACTCCATTGGTAATCATGACTGCTCTGTTTGGATCAGGCCCCTCGCTAAGCCCCAGGGTATTCTGGGAGGGGACGGAATCGCCTCAGGATCACCCGTTTTCAGACGGAATTCCTCCAGAAAATCCCGTTACCGAAAGGAATCGGCCGCTACAAATTCGGCTAGCAAGTGATCAAAGGCTAGGTTGGGCATGGGGGGGAGTGGGGGGACGGGAGGTAGGGGAGGAGGGGGGTAATGGGGGTGGGCGGTCGTACCCCCTAAGGATTTCCCTGTTACTTGGGTAGCCCGTACGGATTCGAAGAAAACTACTCGTTAGGCTAAGGAATCCCGCGGAAATGTTTCCGTAAGTTGGACGGATTCGGATAAAAATCGCACTGTAAAAAAAACGGGATCTCTTGAAAAGTTACTCTTAATTTCTCTACATTAAGGGTAATTCTCCTGTTAGCAAGTGGCCTGCTTTGGATCTCGTTGACATCGGATTTGCGGCGCTGCTGCTTCTGTTCCACTGCGCACATGGCGCAACCGTCGCTTTCACGTGGTTGGACACTGGATTACCACAGCAGGCTGTTCTTGGCCAGCTGGCCGAGGTCAAGCACAGCGAAACAAAAATACACTTCATTCGTTTTATTACGATAGCTTTTCGGGGTTGCCTTCACATTGAAACGCCCAGGCTTTTCGCACACCACCTCCACAGGCACAATGGACAGAAATTAGCATGCATAAAAAAGACAAGTTTGTGCATTTCTTTATGCACACTTGTAGCCAATATAAGGACAGAACTCGTTTCAATGCGATGCACCAGGTGCATCACCTTGTCATTTTGTCAACGCGAAGAGATAAAGTTACATGGGATTCAGTTTGGCGATGCATCTATACGCATCAGGTGCGCACCATGAAGCTTGCCAAGTGTAGCTCAGCGACGAAGTGTGGCAAGTGTCACTGGAATATGAATATGAAAGGGCCAACGAGCCAATATGAGTTGTCCCTTCTTGTTTTCTATTCGTGCACTTGCATGCGTTATTTAGACAGGTAAATCGCGTTCCCCTGTTTCTTTTCTATGGGTGATGCACACCTTTATTCTATCTTCGCAAATCGGCCGTCTCTATTTGTTCGTTTTACATTGAAACCACCTAGATATTTTTTTCCTCTACCTTGAAACCATGAGGTCGTTCACCAACGCTATTTTTTAGGAAGCGCATAGGCATTTGGGGCATCGGAAGGTGCTCCGAGCTGGGATTGATCGACATGCAAACGGTAACATTAGCCTACAATTTCAAACTTAGGATCCTAGATTTCCGAACCGGGTCCAAAAATTGCAATGCCTTTCTCGCCCCATTCCCTTCTATTGCTACTGTAAACCGCTTATTGCCGCCCCTCAGATTGACTGCGCTCCCCAATGCCTCTCAATACCACCAGTCTGGTGAAGGGAATGATAAGGCCACTCCCTCTTTTCTTGGGGGGGGGGGGGGTTTCTCATCGAAAACCTCACCGAATTTGCAGCCAGACCTACCAACAACCACCTATGCACTGTAACTCCCGAAAATAGCACTGTGCGTGTCATCGTGTGCGCTATTCCGTTGCAAAATCCGAGATTTTCGTATCAAATATGCGATCTTGGCCACCGTTTTAGGCAAAATGACGCTGGAAGTGGCTATGATTTCCTGGGCTCGGAATCGAAATTGTCACGCTTCCACCTACTGGCCAACGCCAGCCACCGTGTCAGCCGATTCTTCTAGTGCAGACGAATGACCCCTATTTGTGACTTGCATGCATTGGCAGTATTGCATGCCAAACTGTACCTATGGACCAGGTTTGTGATGCATCAGAAAATTATGAATTGCACCCCGTCCTAACCATCATATGGAATGCGTCGGACTGTAAAGAGAGGAAATCTTCCCGTATTGTGGAGAAAATGGGTTGAGTTTTATGATTGGGACAGGTTATGAGCCAGGCGACTGGTGGGCATTGTAAAGCTGATATTATTATTTCACGCACTTGTGATGTCGCTGGTGCCCAGCCCACCGAACGAATTTGTCCTGGGCTGCACCAAGATGGTGCGCCAGTGTCTTGAAATGACTGGTCCTTCCTCCCCACACCATTCGCGCCAGGGTCACCGCAAAAAACCGCCGCCTTTGCCTTCAGTGAGGGATATATAAGGGATCCGGCGCTGGGTTGGTAAAATATAGAAAATACCAGAATACAGGGGTTTGTAATCGGGTAATTTGGACAGGAGGATTTGGAAAACGGCATGCGCTTGCTGGTTCAGTACCAGGAAATTCACGTAAGTACGTACCTGGTTAGAAATCTTAAGCGGTGGGCTTATGGTGAAATCCCGACAGGATTCCTATGGGTCCACTCATGGTTTTGCTCGTGCAGACCCTGAATGTAACCTAACATCTACTGATACAGCTCACGTTGGCACTTGCGTTCGAGTTTGCCTTGGAATCTTTGTGCACTTGGAGAATTATGATATACTTGCCCTTGTTCCTGGTGAGACCCAGGTTGGTGGAACATGGTTCACTGTTGCGTGCGGTGCCGCCACTGCTGTATGGTTGGTGCATTCTATAGCGACAACGGACCTGATAATTGGGACGAGCGTGCCCACAACAATCACATGGATGCTGGCAGCACAGCATCGATCCCGCGCGTCAAATTATCTGATCTGACCAAGGAGACACCAACGAAGTCATCTGCCCGCCATCACAGCATGTGCTCAATCCCGCCCCAGCCCCCGAGCGCAACGTGGTGTGTGGTGCTGGCGACCCCCCGGCGGAGAACCACTCGATTGAAACTCGGTTGCTTCTGCAATCACAACTGCGAGGCAGCACAAGCAGTGAGCGACAGCCGCGCCGCAGCAAGCTGAATGGACGCAAACCAGCAGACCCTTCAGGAGTTGCTGGGCTAGGCACTGCTGTAACAACTTCAAGCAAGAAGATTCTTACCGTATTGGCCCGAAGCTCGTCCACACGAGCAAGACCGCAGGCAATTAGTTTCAGAATTCATGAGACATCGTTGCCACTTCATTGACCATCCCTCACCGATCTGTTCGCGTCAGAATCCCCACGTCGCTGATGAGTGTGCGACACTTTTTTCCTAGTAGTTCAGTCCTACAAGAATCTTTCTTTCATATTCTTGTCACGCTTCGTCACTAGGCTAACGGCCACAACCTCACTCTGTTACCGCTCGCGTTTATCCGTTTCCGTTGCTGGAAAATAGTCAGGACCAGTAACCTACGTGGTGAGACTCTCACCAGACGAGCTAGCTATAGTCCGGTGAATTGGGACCTCAAAAGCATTCGGGCAGTCAGATGTTTCTCTGCAAGGAACCTGGAGATCCCCGATAGCCGCAGTCACGCGGTGCATCAGCTAGCCGCTGCCGCGCGATGTTTCCCTCCACTTCCCCCATGACGGAGGACGCAGGGATCACACCCAACGAGGAGTTTAAGTCCACGCATACGTTACATGGGTCCGTCGCCGCGGCGTTTGGAATCCCGGAGGGTAACGATAGACGAGGCGGGGTGGGAGCTCATGGGGGTGGCGAGGGGAGCGGGTTGCGCGGCGGCGGGGAAGGCGACGAGTGGGTGTGGGCGGAGCATGGGGGTGACGGAATCGAGGGCGCAGGCAGTTGGGCGGACGTGTGGGCTCTGATCGATGGGTCGGGGGGGGTAATGGGGCACGTCAAGGCGGACAGTGAGAGCACCGCGGCGGCAACTGCAGAAGCGGCGTTTGGAGGTTCCAGGGAGCATCTTTCCGAGGCAGCAGCGGCGGAGCAGATTCCTTTCAGCATGAAAGCGCCGGGATTCGATGCCATGGAGCGGGTGGTGTCTTGGTCGGATCTCATAGCCAGTTTCAACGCCGTTAGGCCGGACGGACCAGAGGGGCCGCCCACGAACACCGGGCTCTCTGCGGCGGAGCAAGCGGCAGATGCCTCAGGCCGGGTTGGACCCAATGACGGTTCCGCAAATGTCGCCGCCGCGACGGGAGTGCCAGCGGGAATTGCGGAGGAGCAGGTGTGCGGGGAGTTTGGCTGGTGGGCGAACGGCGTTTGCCGCATGGACGTTGCAACGGCTGCTGTGGCGGCCGAGCAGGAGACGCCGACAGAGACGCAGGGGACAGTCGCAGGTGGCGGTGGTACCGCTGTAGTTCCTGCGACCACGCAGTGTAGAATCAGCCGCGACGGCGGAGGAACAGCGGGGGAGCTGCGATGGTCAGCGGGGGAGCCTGCTGGGCACAGCGCAGCGGGCAGCCACAGCGCCATTGCCGTCGCGCCCTCCACGCCCAGCCCCCCCACCCTCCCCGACCTCGCCTCTTCCACCACCACTGGCGGCACCGCCACTCCTTCCTCGCAGCGGTGCGCCGCGCCGTGGGGAAGGGCAGAGGGGAGGGCGAGAGATCGGGAGGTTGGGGGAAGAGGCGGGGCGGGCGGAGGACGAGAGCGCGAGACGGCTGGGTGCGGCGTGGAAGACAGCGGAAGAGAAAGGGGAACGCGGGCAGGCGCGGAAGCACTAGTAGGAGTAGTTGGGGGGTTTAGGGATGTTGCGCCTAAAGGCGCAGACGATCCGTGCGCGATGGAGACGGCGACGGGCGAAGTGCAAGGTCCCGGGGGAGAGGGGAGGGACGCGCGGAGCGCGGAGTGTAGGCGAGCGGGGTGGGGGAGCAGAGGCAGGGCAGGGGCGCAGGGGGATGACGCGGACTTGGTGGAGCTGGCGCGGAGGGTGGGCGGCGGGGACAGCAGCGGGGGCGGCAGCGGCCTCGGCTTCACGCCGCAGGATGCTGGGGCGATAGGCTCGGGGATCGCGATAGCGACGCGCGTCCGCACATGCAGCAGGCGCTCGCAGCGGGGAAGGCTAGCTCGCTGGAAGAAGCAGAGGAGGGGACGGGGATGGGCGAGAGGAAAGGGGAGGAGGGGGAGGAGGTGGAGGAGGAGGAGGAGGAGGAGGAGGAGGAGGAGGAGGAGGAGGAGGAGCAGGAGGAGGAGGGGGGAGGGAGTTTAGAGCGGAGAGCGGGGCGGATGCGGACGTGGACTGCTTGGAAATGGTGTGCGCCATGCTGGGGCAAAGGAAACGCCTCAGGACGTCGCCCATGGTCATCGACTGCAGCACAGCAGGCGAGGCGGCGCCCACATTCACGGTGCTGCACGCACGCGGTGCATGTGCGGATGAACATGCCCTGGCGCGGCAAGAGCAGGCGGAGAAGGCGGAGCAGGCGGAGCAGAAGGAGCAGAGCGAGGTAGTGGACGGCCAGCCCCATGCGCCGTTCCTGCCCGCGCCTGCTCTCCCCTCGCCGCCCACCCACACGCGCTTCTCTCCGCGCCTCGCCTACCCATTCCCGCACGCCATGCGCCCACTGAACCTCAAACTGCCGCCTCTCCACCACACCGCCCCCGCCCTACCCGCCTCGCGGTCCTCCTGCCGGCCGCCCTCGTCCCCATCCGCCCCTCGTGTCGCCGGCCTCGCTCGAACCATCTCTGCCTCCTTCCCCACCGCCGCCGCCGCCACCACCTCTTCCTCCCTCTCCCCGCGCTCCCTCTCGCACCACTTTCTTGGTTCTCACGTGCGTTCTCCTCACTCCCCCGCGCCCCCGCCCCACACACCAGCAGCGGCAAGGGCTCCTCCAGCAGGCGATGGGGGCGAGGGCGAGAGCGGGCGGGCGCAGGCAGCGCTGCTGCCCAAGAAGCGGTCCCTGTCGTGGGCGGGGGGGGAGGTGAGAGGCGCGTGGGAGATGGAGAGCACCACGGCCACAGCCCTCCGTGCGCACGAGCCTCTCACCCCCGCGCACCCTGCTGGAATCAGCCGCAACGGCTCTCCTCCGCTTGCCACCCTTTCCAATGGCAATCCGCCTCCAGGTGTTGCAGCAGCGGGTGCGGCGCTTGAAAGCACCTGCGCTGTGGATGTTGCTGGTGGGGCGCTGAAAACGGCTGGCAGCAGCATGAAGAGTAGTGGCGAGGGGCAGCGCAGGGACGACGGCAGTAGCAGGCCTGCTCAGCTGTGGAGTAGAGGGCTGCAGCGCCTCGCAAGGCTGCAGCTGCAGCACCGCGTGCTGCTGATGAAGCAGCAGCAGGCCGTGCAGCAGCGGCAAGGGGCGGATGCGTGCATGGACCGCACGCTGCAGCAGGCGCAGCCACAGCAGGAGACGAAGGTTCAGGTAGTGAGACAGGAATCACAGACAGGGGTGCAGCAGGAGGTGAATGGTGATGCGGCGAATGAGGCAAAACGGAAGGAGCGCTTGGAGCTAGCTCTTCAGATCAAACAGGCGTGGACGGAGCAGCAGCACCAGCAGCAGGCAGGGTACAGAGCACAGGTGGTAAGCAGCAGTGATGCTTTGGGGTTGGGTGCTGCTGCAACCCCTGCTGCTGACCCACACGCCTTCATTCCCACTCTCGCTCAAGCCACTCCCATGGAGCAGCAAGTCGGGGCGAATGGAGAGTGGGAGTCACTGGTGGAGAGCATGCTGCTGCGCCACAAAAGCACCCAACGGACCAGCACCTCTAATCTGCCGTTTGCCGCGGGGGCAAGGAGGGCCATTCTGAACGCGGTGCTGTACGGTACAGGCTATGCAGGGCGCGCAGCATTGGGAATGGAGCAGCATGGCATGGTGCCTGGGACTCTACCGGCAGCCTCTGTAGCGGCATGTGGCACGTCGGGTGTAGATGGAGTGGTTGCTGCGCCAGGGGCGGCCACATCTGCAGCAGCAGGTGTGAGGTCTCAAGCTGTTGCAGCCCTGGAAGCTCCGACCACGAACGGGGGGCGGCAAGGGGAGAGCACCGCCCATGTGCCGCGCTTCCCCCCAAAACCCCTGTGCCTCGTCTCCCCTCGCTTCCACACTCCCTCCTCACATTCCCCTCTCATCTCCCCACTCTCCTACACGCCGAGAGGGAGGCCGGGCAGCGGTGGGTGGGGCGGCAGTGGGGGCGACGGAGAGGGAGGAAGGCATGGGCGGTGGGAGGTGGAGCGGACAGGGGGGTCGCCTGGGGACGCAGCAAGGCAGGCGAAGATGGCGGTGGCGGCTCAGCAGGACAGGCTGCACGGGGGGGGTCCACACGGGGACGGCGACAGAGGGAGGTCCGGCGCGTGGCCCGGGTGGCAGGGCGCTGGGGCACAGGGAGCGAGGCGCGGGAAGCAGGACAATTCACTGGGCAGCGCTGTGAGTGGTGGTGGCGAGGGGGGGAGAGGCGTGGTGACGGAGGGCAGAGAGGGTGCGTGGGGAGAGACACTGGGCTCAGGGGAAGCTGTGGTGGGTGCTATGGCGTGCTCTGGTCGTGTGCGGAGTGCTCCACTGAGCCGGCAGAGCAGCTGGGGCTGTAGTGGCGGCAGAGCTAGCGCTGCTGTGATCGGATCTTCTCCCTCTCCCAAGGAAGCCCATGCCGGCTTCGACCCCTTCCCCGTGCGCCACGCGTTACGCCATTCTGCTACTGCAGGTGCCGCTGGCATTCAGGGCGGCAGGGTGCTGGCTCGAGTGCAGTCGCTGGCAGCAGGGGGGGGAGCAGCAGAGGCAGCAAGCACGGCAGTCAAGGCAGGGCGGTGGGGAGCAGGAGGGGCAGGGGGGGTGGGCGGGGCGCTGGTGCCATGGGGCAAGAGCAAGAGCTGGGGTGGTGCAGGGAGAAGCAGAGCTTGGGGGGCGAGGGGGGTTGTCACTGGCAGGGGGGAGTGGTGGGGGCAAGCAACAGTGGGGGAGATGTGGGGATAGGAAAGTGTGCACCAGCGTCAGCACCAGCGTTAGCAGCAGCAGCATTGTCTTCAGTGTCCGCTGCAGCATACTCCATCCAGTCGTCTGGGCTGCTAGCACAGCACATGCAGCGACAGCAGCGGCGGCAGCAGCAGATGGAGCTGATGGGGCAGATGGGGCACGTGGGGCAGATGGGGCAGATGGGGCAGGAGCACATGGGTGGAGTGCAGGGGAAGAGGCACATGGCGGAAGGGGTGCACGCGGCTGGCAAGTACAGAGCGTTGGGGGACACTGGAGGGTGGGGTTGTGAGGAGGACAAGGGGCAGTCCAAGGAGAAATCTCTTCTTGAGGTATGCAAACTATGACCTGAGGTGCATGGCATGGCATGCAAGGATGCCCGTTTCGCTTGTCCAGCACCCGTGTTCCAGTGCCGTGTAACTTGATACTTTTCCCACAGCTCTCTTTCTCACTCCAGTCATCTCAAACCCCTGGACAGCATGTTTTCCCCATTCACAACTTTTCTGTTCTCATCTTGCCTGTTCTCGCCTTGCCTGTTCTCATCTTGCCTGTTCTCATCTTGTGCTCCCCTCTCTCCCCCTCTCCCCCCTCCCCCGCTGTGCTGCCCTCTCAGGCGCAGCTGGAGGAGCTCATGAGCGAGGCCCACAGCACCTCTGCCCACGCTCTCTCCTGTGCCCCCTCCACGGCGCCTGCCCCACACGTGCTCTCCTCCGCTGCCATCTCGCTGCTGCTCAACAACGCCCTCGCGCCCCTGCCTGGGCCTGCCACCACACCTTCGTCCCAGGCCCCCACCATGCACGGGGCCACTGTGCCACCAGCACAGGGGGGCCGCCCGTGACTCGTGACTGCCATTTGCAGTCGCCGCAGGGACATGCAGCAGCAACATCCCTGAGAGTGCCGCACGCGCTTTCCTTCTGCAGCGAAGGAGTGAAGGGGCTGGACACACACGAGCTAAGATGTTTTGAAGCATGGTGGCAAGGCAAGGCATGGCCGCTGCTACCGAGGGCTTTTGCACATGCAAAGTGAGCATGGCTGCTACATTGCAGCAGGTTGTGTATTTATTCGATTGTTGAGAGGCAGCCATGGTATTTATTCTGTGCTGCGCACCGGCTGTGTTGCTCCAGATGACACGGATGAGAAAACGTGAGCCACTGATTGCAGGGGGCGATGAGTTGATGCGACAAGAGCACTTTGTTTGTTACATGTTTGTCAAGTAATGAGTGTCAACTTATACATATTAGCTATGTAAAAGTTATAGGCTAGATTCAGGTATGCTTCTAGTGAGTACAACCAACTAGTATTTGTTCTAGGTTTCCACTTCTAGTCATTCATTCAGTTCTTCCTTTAACATGGTATCAGAGCGTAGGTTAGAATCCCCCACCTACCGCTTCCGCCCGTACCCTAGCTAGACCCCGCCGCACCCCCCCCCCCCCCTGGGGCCCCGTCGCGCCTCCTAGCCCCGTCGCGCCTCCTAGCCCCGTCGCGCCTCCTAGCCCCGTCGCGCCCCTCCTGGGCCCCGTCGCGCCTCCTGGCCCCGTCGCGCCCCTCCTGGGCCCCATCGCGCCCCTCCTGGGCCCCGTCGCGCCTCCTAGCCCCGTCGCGCCCCTCCTGGGCCCCGTTGTCCCTCCTAGCCCCGTCGCGCCTCCTAGCCCCGTCGCGCCCCTCCTGGGCCCCGTCGCGCCTCCTAGCCCTGTCGCGCCCCTCCTGGGTCCCGTCGCGCCCTGCCTGGCCCCGTCGCGCCCGCCTGGCCCCGTCGCGCCCTGCCTGGCCCCGTCGCGCCCTCCTGGCCCCTCCGCGCCTGCCTGGCCCTGCCGCGCCTGCCTGGCCCCGCCGCGCCTGCCTGGCCCCGCCGCGCCTCCCTGGCCCCGCCGCGCCTGCCTGGCCCCGCCACGCCTGCCTGGCCGCGCCACGCCTGCCTGGCCCCACCGTGACTGCATGGCCCCGCCGCACCTGCCTGGCCCCTCCGCGCCTGCCTGGCCTCTCCCACTGCCCGCCCGGCCCATCTTCGTGCCTGCTCGTCCTGCCGTGCCACCTCGAGCTCCGTCTACTCTGCTCGCCAGTGCTGGGGCGCCTCGCAGCCGCCGTGCTGGAGAGTGCTGCCGCCGTGTCCCTGCGTCGCTGTGTTCCTGTGGAGCTGTGCCGCTGACCCTGCACGATGGCTGACTTCGTGCTTTGACTGGACACCGAGGGCCATGCGGTTGACTTCGCCGCCTGGCTCTCCGATCTCCGCCGCCACCTTACAGGTCAGCGCCAGGATGGCCACTCTTTGGTTGTCCATGTCGATGGCTTGCTCCCCCGCCCCCCTGCCCCTGCTCCCCTCCCTGCTGATCCCTCCTCTGCTGACCGTGAGGCCTTCTCTACTGTTGCGCTTGCCTGTGCGGTTTGGGACTCCCGCGATGCAGTACCTCAGATTGCTATTAGTCACGCCCTCCCTGTGTCTGAGCGCTCGCGTTTTGCTACTGTTGAGACGGCCAAAGCTTACTTAGACGCCGTTATTGCTCACTATTCCACACCCGCGTCTGCTTCTGCTGGCCGCTTGCTCTTTCCGATGCTGTTCCCAGACCTTGCAGACTTCCCTACCGTCGCAGACTTTGCCACTCACCTGCGTGCCATAGAGACCCGCTATCGCACTGCCAGCACTGCTGCCCAGCTCACTGCGCTCCCCCCCCCTTCCTGCATGATGCTCTATTTTATCACCATGCGCCTGCCAGACCGCCTCGCTAATGCTCGCGATCACTTCCTTAGCCAGCACCTGGGTGACCTCACCCTCACCGCCTTTGTCGACACCCTCACCGAGATCGAGACTCGTCAGCGCACTATCGCTCAGTCGAGCGGTGCGCCGGCAGTCTCTATCTTTCACGGCTGTGCCCCCTCCCAGTGCACGTTCACTGACGTTTCGGCTGCGATCGCCACATCGACCCCTCTCACCGAGACGGATGCTGCAGTCCACCCGCAGCAGCGCTCGCGCCGCGGTGGCCGTGGTCGCCAGGGAGGTAGGGGTGGGTGGTGGCGCAGGTGGTGGTGGTGGTGGTGACGGTAGTCCGCCTGCGGGGACTACAACTGGTGGGCAGGAGCAGCAGCCCCAGCCGCAGCAGGAGCAGCCCCAGCCGCGGCCGCCGCCCCAGCAGCAGCCGCCGTCCCAGCAGCAGTCGCCGCAGCCGTGGGCCCGTCTCCCGCCTGGCTGGCCCGGCACCTCCGGAGGTAAAGGCCGTGGTGGCGGCCCGCGCAGCTTGGTGTCTACCGGCGGCTCCGGTGCTGTCACTTGCCAGTACCAGCTTCAGACCGGGCCTCTTCGCGGCACTCTGTGCCGCCGCCCGCACCCGACCGCCCGCTGTTTCCGCCGCCTCGACGATCTCTTTCGTCGTCGCTTTGGCCCGGCCCCGGACCTCCCCGACTGGCACAGCCTGCTCTGTCAGGGCGTGCCGATCTTTGAGTTAGACATGGCTCAGATAGGTGTTGCCTTGCATGCTTTGTATTCTGACGCTTCTAGTATTGCTAGATCGTATTACCCTATGTACTCTAGTTTAGGTGTTGCACCATTGTGTAGCTTAGCCTCCCCTGCTGCGTCAGGCGTAGGACTGCCTAGCTTGCCTAGTCTAGTCGCTACATCGGCTCCGTCCCCGGCCTCCGCCACTGCTTCGCAGTCCTTCACTCTCGACTCCAGTGCTTCTGCCTGCTTCTTCCGCGACCGTTCCACGCTCACGTCGCTTGCTGCGCCTGCTGTTGTCTCTCTCGCTGACCCCTCTGCGGGTCCTGTCGTCGCTCGCAGCTCTACGTCCCTTCCCTGTCCAGCAGTTCCCTCGGGCTCCCTTACAGGCCTCCACGTTCCCTCGTTCTCGAGGAACCTGGTTGGTGTCGGCTTTCTCCAGGACCTCGGCGTCACCACCACGTTCCCTGGGTTCGCTGTCTGTTCTGAGGGTGTCTCAGGTTCCCCCCTTGCGACGTTCCCCCGGGACCCGGTGTCCGGTCTGTTTACCCTAGACACCGCTCCCCCCCGGTTGGTGCGTCCTCCCAGGTCACTGCAGCTTGCTCGTGTCGGTCCCTCACTCACCCGTCCCTTCTCTGGCACCACCGCTTAGGTCACCCTGCTCTCCCACGTCTGCGTCACATGTCCCAGCACGGTCTTGTCTTAGGTCTCCCCGCGTCGCTCCCTGCCCTTCCTCCCTCGACTGCGTCATCGTGCACGCCTTGCGTCGAGGGTCGGCTCCGCCGTGCTCCTCACTCCTCCTTGCTGCGCCCTGCTACTACCCCCCTTCAGACCCTGCACCTGGACGTTTGGGGCCCTGCCCCCGTCCCCGGACCGCGCGGTGAGCGCTACTTCCTTGTGCTCGTCGACGACTACACGCGCTACACCACGGTGTTTCCCCTGGAGCGGAAGGCCGACGTGCCCGACGTTCTTCTCCCGTGGGTTGTGGCTGCGCGTCTCCACCGCGGTCTCCCCGCGTTGTGTCTCCACTCCGACCGTGGCGGCGAGTTCGCCTCTGGTCGGCTTGGACATTTCTGTCGTGCGGAGGGCATCACCCAGTCATACACCTTGCCGGACTCGCCACAGCAGAATGGGGTTGCTGAGCGCCGCATCGGCTTGGTCATGGAGGTCGCCCGTACCTCCATGATCCATGCCGATGCCCCCCATTTTCTGTGGCCGTTCGGTGTTCGCTAAGCTGCTCACCAGCTTAACTTGTGGCCACGCTCCTAGCGGCCGCAGGTTTCGCCGACCCTCCTTTGGACTGGGTCCCCCGGTGACGCGTCTGCGTTCCACGTCTTGGGCTGCCTTGCTCACGTTCGTGCCTCTGGCACGGACAAGCTCACTGCCCGCACTGTCCCCTGTGTCTTCCTCGGTTTTCCCCTGGACTCGTCTGACTGGCTTTTCTACCACCCGCCGTCTCACCGCTTCCTCCACTCTCGTGACGTCACCTTTGACGAGTCTGTCTCCTTCTACCGCCGCTTCCCTCACCGAGGTCTCCCGGTTGCCCTGCCCCTGTTCCTGGCTCCCTCTCCCCCGGTAGCCCCTGCTCCTCTCCCGCCTTGTCCTGCCCCGTCTGGTGTCTCTCACGTCACTCCCCTCCCGTCGGTTGTCCCCGTTGAGGAGTCTGCTGACTCTAGTGGTACCCCCGGCCCGTCCCTGCCGCGTCCCCCTTCCCCGGTGTCTCCGCCTTCCCTGCCGCAGTCGCCGTCGCCGCCCCCGCCGCCGCCATCGCAGTCGCAGTCACCGCCACCGCCGCCGCCGCCGCTGCCACTGTTGGCCTCTGGGGGTGCTGGCGTTGAGGAGGGTGTTCGTCCTGCGGCTCTCGGGGGTGCCGCTGGAGTTGGAGGGGGTTCTTGCTCTGGGTGTGTTGGTTCTGGGGGTGCTGCTGTTGAGGGTTCCGCCGACGGTCGTCCTGCCTCTGCCGGTCCGAGGGTTCCGGCCCAGCTAACGCAGCAGCCGTCGCCGCCGGTCTCCGCTCTCCGCCTGCTCGGCCTTCCCTCCCCGTACCGCGCGCCGGTGTCTCCCCCACCGCTTGCTGACCTTCGTGTCTACGTTCCTGTGTTCCCGCCGCCGGACTCGTCTCCGGCCCGTCTTCCTCCTCGCTCCCCTCCTTTGTCCCCTCCGCTGTCCCATGACCCTACACCTCCGTCTCACGTTTGGGCTCGTAGTTCCTCCCGTGCTCGTCCCGTCTCTCCTGTCCTGCCCACCCACCCTGTCCTCTCCTGTCCTGTCCTCCGTTCCTACTCGTCTCATCCTCCCCTCCTCCCGTCCCCTCCTCCCTCGTCCCTTGCTGTTGCACCTCCTCCGTTCTCTGACTACCTCCGTGCCGCTCGTCCCCTTGTCCCTCGGGTCCTTGCCTCTCTGGTTACCGACCCTGCTGTTCCTGTCTCGCGCCTTGACGCGCTTGTCGCTGCTGTCGCTGACTTCGCCTCTACCCGCCGCCTTGACTACGCTACCAATCTGGTCTCTGACCCTGCCCGTCCTCCGTCTGTCGGTGGTGCTCCTGCCCTTGGCAGTAACGTCCTAGAGGACAGGCAGTACGAGCTTGCTTTCCTTTTCGAGGCTGCTCCCCATCTCTGCTCCATGCTGTTAGTCCCTGAGGGTGACCCAGACGCCTTCGACATCCCGACCCCTCGCACCTAAGCTGAGATGTAGCAGGAGATGGCATCTTGGAGGTCCACCGGCACTTACGTCGACGCAGTTACGTGTGCTTCGGCACCGGCACAGACTAGATCTTCGGGTGCTGCTACACGTAGCAGCACAGCGCGACTACGAGCTTCACTCCCTAGACTTCTCTACTGCCTTTCT